GGCTCTGGGATAGGTCGCGGTGAAGTACTTGCATACGTGTATGGACCAACGGTCTTACACCGCACGGGGGCATGAGCTATGACTCGCACCACACACACGAAGACGACAGGTCAGATTTAGGCCGCGCGTCTTTCCATCATCTATTACACAAAGTTTGTTCTTTTGCTGCAGTCCAGTTCCGAAAGCGTTTCCTTCCAAGCACCAAAATCCAAAAGCCGCTTTGTCAGCCTCTGCGTTTTCGATGCTCCTCAACGTGGCTGGAGTCCTGCACTTGGATTGCGACAAAAGTTCATCGATTTTATTTTCCAAACAAAAATGTTTCAAATGTATGAAAACATTTCCTGGCTGAAAGTACAGGACAATCCATCGATGCTATGCTCATTCATTGGTGTTCCATGCACAGCAATGCAATTCACATGCACAGACTGCAATGACATGCACCCTCACGCTAACAAGACTGAAGCTTATGCACTGGTATCTTTTCCAAGGAAGGGGATTTGCCATGTCTGCTTCCATCCGAGATCTGTCCTCTGCAGGTGTGTGAGAAACGAAATCTCCCCGTGAAACACTACACAAAGTGCTGAAAGCAGAGTTCTCTGCTGCACTCAGAGGTTCCGCCTAAGTGAGCGGCCTGTCAATGGTTGAGTTGAACAACGAAGTGCACACACGTTCCAAGGTGCACCGGTAGATCGCTGAGGTTCGTGCTGAAAGGCACATGACGACCCTGCATTTCCAAGCGGAAACTGGAAGTACGTAAGTCATGCCCAGAGCGATGCCACACATCGTCAGCAACCGCAAACTTGACGTCGTCAACTGTTCCTGTGGTCGCCACTCTACAAAGTACAACATCCACAACCGGCACATTGGTTACCATCACTGCCAGCCATTGGATCCTTGATTCTCTGTTCGTGTCTTCATCAAGACCCGCTGTTCCGGCATCACGTTTCATCCCAACTGCCAAATGTAAGGCACTATTGGAGTGGGTGGGTGGGCAGAAAAATTTTTCCCGACCCTCTCCACGAGGGTTGTGACTGAGAGGGCTGTGGCCTCTCTTCGTCTGAGCCGAAAAACTTTCTCATTCGGAGAATTCGAAAATTTTTCTCCGGAAAATAAAGGTTTGTACTTGCAGCACGATTACCTTATTTTCCAAACAAAAATGTTTCAAACGTATGAAAACATTTCCTGGCTGAAAGTACAGGACAATCCATCGATGCTATGCTCATTCATTGGTGTTCCATGCACAGCAATGCAAGGAAGGGGATTTGCCATGTCTGCTTCCATCCGAGATCTGTCCTCTGCAGGTGTGTGAGAAACGAAATCTCCCTCTCTTGGTCGGGGAGAATGCAAGTCCCTTCCTTGGTCATGGGGGTTTCAGGCCCAGCGCCCGACGAGCGAGTTTACCAGCTTGGCCATTTCCGCGAGAAGCACCTGGTCTTGGAACCTGCAATTGTGTGGCAACCCTGTAAAGTCAAGGCGGCACGGGGCATCCGCCACGTTGGATTTGCTCGGTACCCGAGCGTAGAACGGAATCATCTCAAGCTCCTGTTCCAACAATGCGCAAGCATTGCTCAAGAGGGTCAAAACCTCTGAATCGCTGGTCAGCTTGAGGAGCGTTATGCGCGCCGCTTCATTGTCTAAGTAGCACATCACGTGTTTCCCCCGGAGAAATTCTCGGGCTAGAATGAGGAGCAGGAGAACAGCTATGCTCTCGAGCTCGTTGATGACTTTAGACTTTCCCTGCAGGAGTTTCTCAGCAAGGTCATGCGGCAACACAATGCCAAACCAGCACAGGATCTGCCCCTCCTGATTGAACTGCTCCCAGACCCATTTCGAGGCCTTGGAGTCCTTCTTGCGAGGCGTCCGTAAAAGCGTACACCGTCTCTGAGGTCTGGGCTCGCACCGTCCTCGGCGACGCTTCGGCTATGTAATGTCGTAGCCCCTGCAGTGCTGCGCAAAGGGAGGCTTGGTTTTGTCTCCTGACATATGCAGGGGCATTGATGATGTCAGAGATTCTTCTCATGAAGCCCTTCGGCAAGCGCCCAGAGAGTTGGCCCGCCACAAAGCGCAGCCTTCCCCTCAGTCGATTCCAGGTCTTAGGGCTTGAGGCTCCTTGCTCCTGAAAAGCTGCCAGGTCTTCAATGAGACTTTTGGTCCGCTCTGCTGTATTCTGGATCCTAAATATCTGCTTGCTGCTGTCTGTAAGGTCAAATTCGACCCCCAAAGATCTGAAGACCTCCTGGAACGGCTGAGCCTTGTCTCCGTCTCTGTCAAACTCAAAGCCGAGCAAGTCTAGCAGAAAACATGCACTGGCCTCTCCGCTAGTGGCCAGCTGTCGTGTTGACAACAACGTGAAGTCATCGTAAAACGAGCTCCAAGGCAAGTGCCAAAACGTGTTTCCTTTGTGACAAATAGCCAAGCTGACCCTGATGAACGCATGGACCGCCGCCACGGCGCCGAATGGAAGGCAAAGAAGCCTGAAGAAGCGAACCTCCCCCGAACTGGGGTCCTTGACAGCCACGTAGGCCATGTTGAGTGCCTCTTCGGACAATGGCAGTTGCCTATATGCTGATTTCAGGTCAATGGTTTTCCCAAGCAGTCCTTGTCCTGCGTGCCTCAGGAACAAGATGGCCGAGGCTGCAATTGTCTCGATGTCATGCAACTCGATCTTCCCCATACTCCCAAATGCCTCGTTGATGTGGCTCTGGGACAGGTCGTCAATCGGCCTGACCTTGTTCCCTTGCTGGATTGCAAAACGTTTGCTGATTACAGCTCCTTGTGGCAGGTCCTGTTCTCGGAAAGGTCCTTCCGACCAGCCTTTTGATACTTCATCGAGACTTTTCTGCCACAGTTCTTCCAGAAACTGAGATGAGTCCTCAACTTCCCTGATGACCTGGTGGTTGGTCTCCTGCGTCAGTTGGGACAGGTCCTTCAGGGAAAGGAATGCTGGACGAAAGTCGGTGGACCAGCCTGCCGGAAGGTCCAAATGCCCCACAAGATCAAAACCCTGTGCCAGGTCGTCTGCCACTGCCTTGTCGGCGTAGTGGGACGCTTCTAGCATCTTTTTGAAGAGCAGTATTCTCTTGTTACGGAGGCTGCTGCGGATGTGCTCGGGCAGCTTGGCTTTGAAGTCGTTTTCGGCTAGCTGCAGCTCCTGGGCTCGCTGGAGCCATCTTCGTGACTGCGCAGGTCGAGTCTCAATCACCTTGGCTGCGGGCTGTTTAGAGCACGCCAAAATTGCCTTCCTCAGGGCGGGTGGCACCCCGAGACACAGGTGTCGGGGGTGGCCGGCCAGTCGGGCTTTCGCCACAAATTCCTGTGGGTTCCACGGGACCTCCACCAGCACGTCCGTCGCAGAAGACAGTACGGGCGTCACTCTCAACGGGGCTCCTGGCGCCTTGAAACCCGGGATCTTGTCCGGTCCCAACCACTGTGTAGTCTGGAGAGTGCTACGGAGTTGGCCGGGCACTGTCTATCTGATTCGTCGGCAGAATTCGGGGATGACCTGAAAAGATGCAGCCCTTTTGGTCTTTGCCTGTGTCGTTTGCGGGATCTCCCTCCAAGAGATTCAGACCATCCCGACAACCCTTCTGTGTCAGATGCTGCAACAGCAGGGAAACAAAGTGCTTACAAAACTGGTGTGGATACGCGGTCTCAAGCTTTGTTGCGAGAACTCCCTCTTGCACTTCCCAGGGCAGGTGCTCGTGGGATCCATCACACGTGACAGCCAGGCCTGTGATGAGATCGTTGTTGCACAGCAAGGCCGTCCGCTTTAATCTCGAACCTCCCATCATGCAAAAGTCGCACTGGACCACGATCGCCTGTTCACTCCTCAGGATGTGTTCAATGGCGCTGCAATGCCAGAAGAAACTGCGATAGGGGTTCTCTATGATTACCACAATGCCATTTTCGCAGCAAAAGTCCCAGATTCGGGCCGTGAGCCGGTAAAGCTCGTTAGCCTTTGCCACCCTTTCTGCATCACTTGGGCCAAGGCCTGGAAGCCCTTCCGGGCACTCCACTGACCGCAAAGGACGCGGCTCGTCCTCCCACGGAAGGGATTTCCCTGGCCCTGCTGGATGTGCCGCAGGGCGGCGCCAGCCATACGGCGGCCAGTCCTGGAGAACCCAGCCATTTCCACAGCAGACCTTGGTGCGACAGCAGGAGCAAGTCCAGCTGTATTATCTTGCCCTTGCGCCTTGGCACGCGGACGTTGTCTACTCCGACCGACCGCTTGAGGCCGGCTGAAGCAGCCGCCGAGGTAATCCCGGCTGACCCCGCGAAAATTTCCAAAACCCAACACTCCTGTATGGTCTGGGGCGCAGTACATTGCACTTGTCCAGACCTCTGGACGCCAGGATGACTCGCCTGAGGTGAAAATGCGGAAGCCTCAGCGGGAGGCTTGGCCAATTCCTGGCGACGCGTGGGGATCTTGCTCGGGTGCAGGTATTTCAGCGACCCTTGCTCTACCTGTGTCGACACAGCATCATAGACCGAAAAGGCGGGCTCCAAGTCATGCTCAATCGAGAGTCCGCCCAGCCTTTGAGCCTGCAATTCCAGGCGCTGGGCTCTCTCAGCTCCTGGCAGCTTACGTAGAACTGAGTCCGGCTGCTGTTCCACGGTGGCCTTCAAGTTTGCCAAACTCATGGTCTGGCACTCGAACAGGAGCCTCTTGACGACCGTCATCTGTGCAAGAGTGGGGTTGTTCTGCCCCAGACTCGTACATAGAGTGGAGACCTCCCTATCTGTGAGAGGTTGACCCGGTTGAGTGGCGGCATAGGCTGCCATGGACACCGTCTTGACCCCTCCAGCTATGAATTTGTCCAAGAGTTGCTGCTCCATCCCGATCTTGCGAGCATGTTGCTCGAAGAAAGGCTGACTATCCGCTGCGTTTGCCATGTTTAGGGAGTGGGGCCAAAACTGCAAATTGCAAAAGAGAGAGCTGGTACAAAGGGATTGTGTTGCACACGCACACAAACCGGCCAACAACAGTGTCACCCCTCTCTTTACTCCTGAAAACAACGGCTGCACTGTAGCCACTTCGCTGAGGGCTTCTCCATTTCTACAAAATTAACGCTGATCCACTTGCCACATTTCAACGTCGTCTGACCTACTTTGTACAGATGTAACATGGTAGACTTCTTGTTCTGGATCGCACTCCAACCCTCCGGCAGGCTCAGGGTCGCAGCTGGTTCCTCCTTTTCTTCCGATGAGGCTCCATCAGAGGTTTCCTCGGAGGACCCTTCTGCTGATGTGGTGGGCGAGATCTCTGCCTCCCCGTTGTCATCTGCATCTTGTGTGTCATCCTTGTCGAACAACGTTTCGCAAAGCCCAGAGGTCACGGTAGCCAGCTTGTCTAATTCCTCACTTTCTTTCGAGGGGGATTCTTCTCCTTCTGCTACCAACGGCGCGGATGCTTCCAAGACGGGCATGGCACTTGGTGACTCAAAAACCTTCCCTTGCGAGGGGCAAAGCGGTCCAACCCCCAGTAAATCGTCCTGAAAGCCTTCCGCTGGAGCTGGCAAAGGCTCATGCGTGCTTTCGGAGTTCGCAGGCAGCCCATCTAAGCTGCCTACCTTGCTGATCGGCAACCAGGACCCGAGGTCAACAGATGCACCTGCCTCTGATCCTTGGGCTCGGGCAAAGTATCCACTTCGAGTAGCGTCCGGGCAAAACGAGCCCTCCCGTACCTGCTTCAGCATTTACCGCTTGTTCCAAATTGGGTTTGAACCCAAAAGCCAAAAGCCTAACATGGAGACTCGCAAGACACAAAGCAGGCGCTGCATGCCACTCACATTTTTTCATCAGTGGGCGAATCATTAATCACATCCTGTCACGTGCCGGTGCACACAACGCGGTGCACATACATTGCACATGCGTCTCACCATACCCTAGCGAACCTCAAGCCCCCTTTGAGGACGAGGCAACTGTACATGCAACACTAATGGAAGTGCCGATGGCACACAGGGAGTTGCAGCCGCTTCAGCGGGCCCTGTTTGTCATGCCCTGGGTGGGCCGGGCGGGTCAAAATTTTTCACTGAGCTGTGGAGCCAGCGCTGCACCCACAGAGCTCCAGCAAACGCATTTGCAAATTGTCGTTCGCAATACCAGGCATGTTTTGGGTTACAAAACCAAGAACAAACGGCACACCGTTTTTCTTAGAGACATTTGGAAGCAATCGATAAAACACCATTCGCTCGCGAACAGTAAGCTTACCGCTTGTTCCAAATTGGGTTTGAACCCAAAAGCCAAAAGCCTAACATGGAGACTCGCAAGACACAAAGCAGGCGCTGCATGCCACTCACATTTTTTCATCAGTGGGCGAATCATTAATCACATCCTGTCACGTGCCGGTGCACACAACGCGGTGCACATACATTGCACATGCGTCTCACCATACCCTAGCGAACCTCAAGCCCCCTGATTAGCCGACAGTCCAAGGCAGATGGCATCCAGGTGCTCCGACACGTCGGAACACGGGACACTGATGCCACCCCACAGCAAGTGCTGGGACACCAGCCTTGACGGGTGATCTTTTTTTTTTCATTCATTCGCATCAACTGTGGCAGTTGTCATGCGGGCGAGTGTGAGCTAGTCACCCCTCTCTGCTGGAGGGTTCGCCGGTGTGAGGCAGATAAACCCTGCTGTGCCCCGTGGAGCCCGACAGCAAAGTTGTACAATCCTAGAGAGATAAAAACTGCCTTTGGCAGCCGCAAAGCTGTGCTCCTCAGAGCCCGACAGCTGAGGTGTCACAGCTGGGAACTAACAAGTGAAGCTAACAATCAAAATAACTGTACAGGAGACATCATGAGGGCCAGCTTGTCTACAGTCTATGTCTACTCCTTGTCAGAGTGTCGACTCACAAGGCGAGGAGACCTCAGGCCTTGTTGTACTGAGTGTAGAGAGTTGGCCTCTCATGTTTGAGAGCTAGAGAATCATGAATGTTCTGTGTACACCAGTGGGGAGTGGAGGCCACTTTCCCAAGTAGAGTCACACATGGCTATTGATGCGGTATGCAAGCAAGTAGCAGTTTGTAAGAATGGCCTGTCGTGTGGCATCTGTCCCTGGCGTGGCGGCCTGGCCGTCGTCATGTACGAGGTGGCAGGACCAAATATCCTCAGTGTCACCAGGAAAGTAGAATGCCTGATAGTGCCCGGCCGTTACCACCTTGCCTATATGCATGACCCCTCCGCATAGCTTGTACGGGGTGTTGACAACGTCACCGGCATGTCCAGTGAAGGTGGGAACAGTGAGATGTTTGTGCATTTCAATCCTCTGCCGCGTTTTCCTAATACCTCCGACTGATTGGACAAATCGTCCGATCTGGAGGATGAGAAGTTCGGGGGGTCTAGTTAAGGCATGTGGCGGGTCTTGTGTATGCCAAGCTGTTACAGCATCCTGTATTCTGAAGGGGTGTTGGACCACCAGTCTTATGTGTGGACAGTTGAACTGCTCATCCAGGATTTCATATACCCCTGCTTGTGGGCGTCTAGCTTCCCATCCCCCCTTGAGTGCCACGCAGTCCGTTCGGTTGCAAAGGTGCTGCAGAAACTCAGCCGCGTCATGCTGTCGCGTGGGCTTCTGCCATCCTGGCCATATGAAGTTCCATGCCGGGTGTCTGGCAATATTCAGGTGCTGGTTGGATCTTGAGGCCTGTACGATGGCCCCATTGACTTCACCCAGACCTGATATAAAAGCATCATGGGACCGAGCATAGTGCAGCATGTGAATCACTGCGTTGGCGTAGCAAAGGTTATGTGGATTAGTTAGTGCGAGTGATCTAGCATGAGGCTCATTGGTTATACGATCGCGGGTGCGCCATGCCAATAAAGAGCCCTCCACTTTTGTCCCCGCGCCCGCAGTCCCATGTTTCCCCCTTGACGGGATGCCTACTTGACCCTGTTTCGGTGTACTCTTCACTGGTTGTTCAGTGGTCGCACTCACCGAATGCCCCAAAGCCCTATCCATGCTGCCTTTGTCCCTGTTCTTAGTGCAAGCCGGATCATTCAGAGTGCTACGGGGTTTTTTCGCTGACATGGCATGGACGGGGGCTGAAAAGAAATTGCGGACGCCTGTCTGCAGTTGCTCCTTCTCAGTCTCTTTTTGACTGAGCATGGGGCGCGGAGTCCGCTTTCCCCCGAATTTCTCTTGCTTGCTTTTTAGATCTGCAGTCTCTCGAGCTCCTTGGTGAGCGTCGTCTTGCCCACTCGCTCCCGTCTCAAGCGTAGACCGATCAGCTTGCCCGCGCAGTTGTTTGCCAAGAGGTCCAGGTCGTGGTAAACGGCTGCCGCCTGTTGATGGACGGTGAGTGTCAGGACCATGGTGATCACTTCCGCCTGCAGGTCCGGCTTCAGTGGTCGTAGGCTTTGGAACCGGTGCACCGTGTTGTCCTTGGCGGTGTTTGTGATGAGCTGGTTGACTGCCTTTTTTGCGTCCTCGTGAGTGAGGTTGTCCCGACTTGATGGTAGCGCCTTTTTCTGTACCGGGTTCCACTCGTTGTAGATCCACTGGAGCGGAGACCGCGTTGCCCATCCTGCTGTTTCTGCTACCTGTAGTACCTTGGCGTCGGACTCGATTTTCTCGAGGCGTGCTTTCCATTCCATGAGTAGTACTCCCCATAGCGTGGCCCTCAGCGAGGTGTTGACCGTGCCTTCCTCGAACTTTGTGTTCCATGTTGCGCTGGCCTGGATCAACATGGAGACAATGCCGTGGTTCGTCGTGTCCAGGAAGAACACGTAGCTCCGGTCTGCCTCCAAGATCGTCAGTTGGTGCTCGTGTCTGAGTGCTGTTTTGACCAAGGTTTTCAAGGCCGTTCTCACCGTCTCCTCGTCCAGCGACTCCAGGTCCATCATCAACTCGTCTTCTGCTTCCTGATCCCGATCCCGTTTTGCCTTGGGAGCTGCCTTGCCTGCGCCCTTGCCCATGCCCTTTCGATACTTTTGCGGCGTCCCTTGCGGCAGTCTGTGTCTGACGGACGCTTGTCTCTGTGGTGTAGGCGTCGTCGCCAGTGGTGAGCTGAGGCCCCACACTGCCGCCATCTGTTGCTCCGGCGTGGTCTCCCCTGACGTGGAGGTCATGGTACAGGCAGAGCTGCAGCAAAGGGAGGCACTTTCGTCTGTGTTCTCGAGCAGACTTTGGGAAGTGGACATTGCACCAGCAGCAAGGTCGCACAACGTGTGCTTGTAGCAGTGTTTCGGATTGAGCTAGACTCTGGACAAGCTGTTTCTGAGAGTCATGCCGCTGCGCCATGTGTCGTCGCCAGTGTTGGATGTCTTGCACCTGTTCACCGCATAGGAGACATCGTGTCTTGGCAAGCATGGACATGTGCTGTATGTGCAATTGCATCTCATCTTGAGTAGGTGATTTGAGGTAAATCGCAACGTCCATCCCTGGGTGTGGTACAGGCCATACTGCAGGGAGCTGGGTCTCAGGTGAAGCGGAGGCCGCCTGTCTGCTGGTCCTTGCAAGTATCAGCTGAAAAAGAACTGGGCATTGAGAGCAATGCCGATCTGATCCGTGCACCATTCTGTCACACCACTCACATGTATGGTCCCTTTTGAAGAGGTGCTTGAAGGCCTGGCATGAAGTGTGTATGTCTGAGGTGATATGCCGTGCAAGATTCGTATGCACTCTCTGGATATGCGTTTTAATCATGCCGGCATCAGCGATCCAGCGGCCACAGAAACCGCAGTGCTGTTTGAGGTAGGTTTTGTGTAATGCTGCTTGGGTGCATATTCCCTCATGACTGTGAAGCAATGCCAGTGTCACTTCGTTTTGCAGGAGCGTGCTCTCCTCAGTCGTGTTGTTCCGTGGTTCGTGTTGCCGCTCTTTAGGGTCAAGAGGGGTATGTGGGGTGTCGATCTTGTGTGGAACAGGCTCTGTTTCTTTAACAGTCTTCGTATCCTGCTGGCTATTGTTGTTCGAGTCGCTGAGCTGTTTGGTGTGCCAACCGCATACATTTTGCATGATGTGCCCTTTTAATGCACCCCAGTCATACAGCTTCAGAAGACAGTGTTTGCATTGTGGCATGCCCGCAACAGAATGTTGTTCGGGTTTGTAGTCAATACTGAGTTTGTTGGCTTGAATCTGTCCGTGTCTGAGCGCCTGGTGTTGCCTAAGGGCTTTTTGGGTCGGGTAGTATAGGCCACATATGGAGCAGGGATGTTGGCTAGAGCTGGAGAGTTCCACCAGCGTCACAGTGCGTTGTTCCACCGCATGGCTGGCAAGTTGTTTGTGTAGCATTTGCCAATACTCAAAGGTCTTAGTTTCGCACGTGGCAGGATCTCCTCGTCCTTGTTGCATAGCATCAAGTTTGCGCGCAATGCGTTCCGTCAGCATGTGTACAGGATCCTTCAGGTTGTAGGTTTCTCTCAGCGTCTGATTACTCACCTTGGTGAGGTGAGCTGGCATGCCTGTGACCGCTCTGAGTTGGCGGTGAAACCACGCCCTCAGCTTAGTTATCATTTGGCCAGAGAAGGGAGTAGTCAGCAGACCATAAAGCGCACTGTTTACCACGCAAGCCTGCCAAACCCGTACTCTGTGGTGCCTGGACAATCCCTTGCGTGATCTGATGCTTTTGCGAAGTTGCGTAACTTTCGCCTCAGCTTCAGCAAGCCTAAAGTCAAGTGTATGGCCGGTGCCCTCTTTCAGTGTGAGCTTGGTGCCAAGGTAAGTGATGGATTCACACATCGGTATAAGATGTGTTTGTGCTCCATCTTGTAGTTTCCAATGCGCCTGGTTGCGAACTATAACCGTGCGGCTTTTGACAAATTTTTCAAGTTGCGCTCCCTGGACCCGAATGACCAAACTGGATTTATCCGGATTAACCTTGAGCCCGTATGTTTCCAACATGTGAAAAAGCGCCACTATCGTCTCCTCCATTTGCTTGGCATCATCCACCGTTTTGAGAAGCCAATGGCCTAAATGGTCATCGGCGAACAACGTGAATGGAAGCTGCAGCGGCGTTTGACCAGCGGGAGTAAGATCCCAGAGTAACTGAGACGACAGCACGGCCCATAGGGCTGGTGCTAGTCGACATCCCTGGCGAATTCCTTGCGTCGTGCAGATGTCTGTCCGGTGAAATTTATCCCTGACCTGGTAAGCAGCCTGCTCGTGGATGGCGGTGACGGTAGATCTAAGGTCAGCATCAACCTGGTGGAGCGCCAACGCTCTATCTAGTTTTGCACGGTTGACACGATCAAAAGCTTGGCTGAGGTCGACTGACAGGAGGCACCCTCCTGATTCGCCTTTGACCTGTCCAGTTTCTTTGCGCTGTCTCGTCAGGAACCTATTCCCACCCAAGGCCTTAAGACTGTCCTTGATGTCATGTATGCATGCGTTGACCCTTGCTAGCGCATCCGACGTGTCCCGTGCCGGAAGGTATGCATACTGTGGAGTGTGAGTAAGGCTGGCGCAGGCCTGCATCAGTAGCTGATTTTTGATGTGGCCTGCAAACGCCTTGCCATCCGGTCTGAGTAGGCCTATAGGTCTGAGAGCAGCTGCGGTGGATGGAGGCTTATGCGGCTTGGGAAGGAAACACAACTGAGGGTTCTTCCATGCATCAGGTAGTGCAGAGGTTACCGGCTGAAGTCCTTTGGCTATGCAGGCCATGGCTGGCGCCACAATTGTCGCGCAGGCCTTCCACGCTGTGGCCGGAGCGGAGTCCGCAGGCACGGCCTTGCCTATAGGAGTACATTTGAGCTGTGTCGTCCATTCACAGGCAGTCAAAGGCATGCTAAGCATCTGGCCTGGTCGAGTGGGAGATGCCGCCGGGGGAGCGAAGAGTTGTTTGCAGTGTTGGACAAGTGCTTGGTGTTCCTGGTGCAGAGACATGGGTGATCCATCCGGGTGCTTAAGCATGATCCTGGGCTTGGGCTGCCAGGGCAGGAGTCGCTTGACTGCACCATAGAGACGCTTCGTGTTATGCGTCTGAGCGGCCCTTTCAGCTTGCTGTAAGTGCCCCAGTGCTATGGCCCGTTGATTCTGTAGATGATATTGCTTGCTCTGCCGTCCTGCCTTGTTGAAGAGGAGCACCCATTGCCATGTGCGAAGCACTCCTGACAGGGTGAATGGCTTGCATCGCTGAAGATCCCTACGTCTCTGCCACATGTGGTAGACGCGGGCAGGCAGTGTGATGGTCGAGCCACCTACTTCGTCAGGGTGGGTCAACAGCTCTTTCCACGCAGCGAAGATGGCTTTGCACTGTGCTTTGGTTTGGCCTCGATTGGTGTGTGCTGATGTAGCTGTTGGGAAGAGGTCAGAGACCTCACGCAGTAGTGTGTGATTGATGTGATCTGCAGTCAGTGGGAGGCCGTTGTTCAAGCTGTGATTTATCTCCAACTCCACTTTACTCTTTAATTGTGTGATTCGGTGATCCTTCTGGCGATACGCGTAGTCAAGGTCATGTCTCGAGTATTGTAGTTCCTGTTGCATTTTGGCCTTGGGCAAGTGGAAGTGCTTGATGATTCGGACATCAGCAATGAGGGCCGAGTGTGTGAGCTCTTTCCACGCCCCAAAGGGTGCCTCTTGTTTGACTACTTGCTTCGCTCTGGTGTCAGCACTTGGTGCGCGCACAAGGATATAGTCAATCTGTGAGTTGCCCGTACGGGTGTGGTTGGTGCATGGGTCCTTCATATGCCAAGTGTTTAGAGCAACCAGGGCGTTGTCTTGTATGAATCTTGGAAATGTGAGTGGGTCAAGGGCTTGGTGATAGGCCGAGCGGTTCACGCGTGTCCCGATCAATCCGTTTACTGCGTGTACCTCTGAGTTAAAATCTCCCGCTAGAATCAGGGTATCTCTTCTAGCCATGCCCTGTATTGTGGCAGTGCACTTATCGAGCAGGGTTTGCCGCCTCTGTTTGTTTTGTTCCGGATCATCCGTGTGTATCCAAACATGTTGGTATATGTTAAGTGTTTCGATGGCTGCCTCTTTGTGGCATACCTTCACTCTTAGAACTCTGCCTGGGATTATCTCCTGGTAACGAACCATGGAGGCATCGTAACGAGGATGAACCAGTGTGAGCACACCCTCTCCCCGTTTTGTTGAGGAGCCAACTGCCATCCAGTTATCAACCTTGAATGCGCAAAAGGCAGTGCGATGCGTTTCCTGTAGGAATATGAAGTCATACTGCAGGCCCTCTCCACCAAGAAACGCCTTGACTTCACCCCAGAGGAACCCGCTTAGGCTGTTAACATTGATGGACAGGACCTTGAGACGTTGCTGCGCCCCACCTCGTGGTCTGCAAGGAGGTCGGCGTGGTTTGGCCGTCGTTAGGCTGGGCATGGTTGCAGTGTGGAGACCCAACTGACTGCAATGCATAAACCTCCCTCGATATCGAGTGTAGCCAAGTGTATTCTGTGTACTCTGGTGTTGTGCTCTCTGAAAGCTTCTTTTTCGTCCCACCTGAGTGGTGACACCTGCGGCCCCGAACACCGGCGCCGTTGTTTCGCCAGCCACTTGCTTCCCCACCAGGGATGCGCGAAAGTGACGATCAGTTGTTGTGGGTCCCCCCGCCCCGTGGGAGACGGGAACCCTCACCCCCCCTACGCGTGTGATGCGGTGTGTCATCCAAATGAGTGCGTAGAGCCCGGACTTGGGACCGGGCAAGCTCAGTCCAGGTGTAGTTGTGCACGTCTGCTCAGGTATTTTTTGTTTTGGTTTAGACTTTTTTGCTGACGTCGATTGCCTTGTACTCAGGCTGCTGATCTTATTAGTGTGTTGTTGTAGGAGGTTCCTAATGTGTTGCGCCTTTGTGGCAAGCCTGAATAGTTTTTGTAATGGATAAGAAGTGCAGTTTCGGCGCCTCCTGCCTCGTAGGTGTCTGCGTCTGACGGTCGGTCGTAGTCGCCATTTGCGACCTCGTCTACCAAGGCAACTGCGCGCATTTGATGTGAAAGGTGTACAGGCAGCAGTTTGTGTCGCAAGCTGATTGCATGGCCCTTTTTTGCTGTCGAGAATTGACAGTGGCACCTCAGGACGCGGAGACCGCTTGTCCTGTGCATCTGACACTCCTATCCACGGCTCGAGGAGCTCTTCGAGCGTGTCGAGCGACTGCCGCCAGCTTAGGCGGTAGTAAATAGCATGTGGGATTCCTTGCATTAGGTCGTGGAGGTGCCTCGCTGCCTCCCCGTAGATGGCCAGCAGGGCAAGACTCTCCACCGTCTGTTTCTGGTACAACGTGTAGAGATAGCCCTCAACCGCGTCACCCAGCTTGCCCGCCTGCCTGCGTGTCCAGACATTGGGGTGGCTCTCCGGCCTTGTCATCAAAGCCGCTGTGAGCGACCAAATCCAGTTTCCGCAGGCGGGCATGTTCATCGGGCTGGTGTGATACGTCGCATGATGCTGCCTGAAGTAGCCGTGGAGGAAGTTGTGGAGATCGTCTCCATGCGGAATGAGCTTGACCACTGCAGATTTCGCTTCCTGAAGTAGGCGCTGCTTAACGTGTCGTACCTCCTCTGGTGCTTGTGCTAGGAGTAGATGGGGCCGTGGTTCCACTGTACTAGCCCTCCGTGCAGCAGACGATCGTTGTCTTGCTTCTGGTCGTGGTTCATTGGTATTGGACCTCCTAGCTGCAGTCGATCGCGGATTGGCCTCTTGCTCTCCAAGGCCCTGGCTCGAAGCAGCTGGCATCTGTGTCTGCGGTGCAACGAGGAGATCAAGAGTAAGTGGAGGCTCCGCCTGCTTTTTGAGGGTTGTGAGCATTGGCTCAGGTACCAGGCCGACCACGGGTGAAGTGTGGAGACCACCAGCTTCACCAGAGTTAGAAGGGCCTGCCCCCTCTATGTGGTCGATGGGGAGTGTTTCTCCACTCCCATCTTTTCCATGAGGTCCATGTCTCTCCTCCCTCCTGTTCATTGTCTGCTGCTTGTCCAGCCCTGTGTTTTCCGCCTCAACTGTCACGGCTGTGGATTCATTGCGGTCGAGTATCGCCAGTGTCAGGACGGGGTGCGAGGACCGCATGTCCTGTGTAGACGCTGCTCCTATCCATGGTTCGAGAATCTCCGTGAGCGAGTCAAGTGACTGCCTCCAGCTCAGGCGGTAGTAGATGGCGTGCGGGATTCCTTGCATCAGGTCGTGGAGGTACTTTGCAGCCTCCCCATAGGTGGCCAGCAAGGCAAGGTTCCCCGCCGTCTGGCTCTGGTATAACGTGTACAGATATCCCTCTACCGCGTCGCCCAGTTTTCCCGCGTGGCTACGCCTCCAGACGTTGGGGTGGTATTCCGGCCTTGTCATCAATGCTGCAGTAAGCGACCATATCCAGTTCCCACACGAGGGCATGTTCACCGGGTTGGCGTGGTACGTTGCATGGTGCCGCCTGAAGTAGCCGTTGAGGAAAGTATGAAGGTCGTCTCCATGCGGAATCAGCCTGAGCACTGCCGATTTCGCTTCCCTAAGTAGACGGTGCTTGACCTCTCTCACCTCTAGTGGCGCTTGTACCAGGAGTAGATGGGGCCGTGGCTCAATGGTACTAGCCCTCCGGGCTGCAGACGATCGTGTTCTTTCCTCGGGCCGTGGCTCTATGGTGCTGGATCTCCTAGCAGCAGATGACCGTTGTCTGGTCTCCTGCTCCTCGGAACATCGGCTCGATGCAGTTGGAGCCTTCATCGGCCCTGCATCGGGAGAATCATGATCAAGTGGAGGTTCTTCAATCTTCTGGATGGTAGTGAGTGTCAACCCGCATGTTGAAGTGCTCGCAGGTGAGGTGTGGAGACCACTAACCTTACCGGAGGCAGGGTAGTGCACCCCCCCAACAGGAGCATTGGAGGAGGCACTGTCACTTCCAGGCTGGAAAGAAGAGCTTGGGTGCTCAGCCTCCTGGTGCGTCGTCTCCCGTAGATCCAGCCTGGAGGTCTCATTCGTCGTTGTCGTGGGTGTGGACCGCTTGGCCTCTTTCCTTCTCGAACTTGCCGCAACGCCGGTAGCCAACTCGTTGAGTAGTCCCTCCATGGACTGTGTTCGTCTTGTTGCGGCCTGCGTATTCATGACGTTCACCCCCCATCCCTGTGCGTCTCCATCTGTTGCCTTGGTACCGTCCGAGGTCTGCCATTGCCATTCCTGAGAGTGTGGAGACCACCAACTCCAGGTATGCCACCAGTCACTTTCGTCTCCTCCGTCCTGCTGTTGTGCTTGTCGACTTCTGGCTCGTTCTACTGCTTCCTCACGCAAGGCTTGTAGGTGTCCCGTAGGTTCCGCACCTGTCTCTCGGAGCCGGCTTGGGAGTCGTCGTGCTGATCTTTTCTGTGAGCTTGGTGACGGCATTGCAGTTTGGATCGAGGTATTTATAAGTAAGGTCCATTCATGTGTCGGGTGGGGCCTGTAGGGGTAAGTGGATTGTCTCTGGCTGACAGGGGCAGTCTCAGGAGAAGGTATCAGGGTTTGTATGATACAGCAGTGGCGGCGACTCAGGTACTGTATTTGCTTGGTCCATGTTATGTCCTGCGGTCCTTCAGGAATGTTAGCTTTATGTATATGCATCAATTTCTCCTGGCATGCACTGCGTCTGACCCTGACAGAGATCCCGACCATCGAGAGGAGGAGACTGGTCGTTGTCTCAGGCATTGCGGCCTTGCATAAGAGCTTAGCCGGGCTCATCCACTTGCTTAGATGAACGCTGTGCACTGGGATGCAGCGTGGCTCAGTTGCAGTGTGCCGTGGAATCAGGCTCCCGGCATTGATCATTGCTCGGTTGGCCTGGGCAGCGGAAAGCATACATGCATAGTAGTCATGTTTAGGGCGTAGGGTATGCAGTGTGGCTTGGCTGCGCATCATGTATCCAAGCTTATAGGAATGCCTACTGACACGCCCTGCGCAAAGAGCTCTTGCTTTGGTTTTCCGGCGCGGAGCCCGCATGCCGTCGTTGGCCCTCAATAGGCCCGCGTGCACATCCCTGAGGCTCGGTGGCCCATCTGCGGTTCTTGACAAGATTCTCTCTCCGCTCTTCAGGATAATCACGGCGTGGATGAAACGAGCTGGGAGGACCTTTTGTGTGCCGATACCCTTTGTGAGATAGACCTGGTTGCCGCTCTTGTAGAACGTGCACCCCTCCGCCGCAGCCTCCTTCGGTAGGATCGCGAGTGCAATGTTGCATGTATTTCTCATTCCTGAGATAGGACGATCAGTCGGCAGCCCCTCCGTGAGGTGTATGTCATTTCGCTTGCGGCTCGGACCACCCGCCAACAGTCCACTTTGGACTATCTGGCTGTAGGCATCATCGTATGTGCCGTGATACAGCTCCTGTGGCAGCAGGCGTCTGGGCACTCGCACTTGGAAGGTGGAGTTGTCTATGCCTTCCATGGAGTGGCCCTGTGCCGCTCTGATCCACTTTGCCCCTTCCCGCCGGACCACTTCGAATCTCTTCTTGTCGCTCTCCTCGACCACTTGCAGGATTTCGTGTTCCTGTGCATGCAGCGCCTTAAGCTTGTGCGTGTCCAGAACGGCACGGAGGTCAAAGAGGGCATCTGCTCTCACCTCCAATCCATGCCTTGCTCCAGAGTGCCTCAGGACGTCCGTGAGTGCTTTCGATATGGCCGTCTTTCTTCGTCGCGCCAGCGGTGGTCTAGGCGGTTCCCCCCGCTTGCTCGCGTTTGGGCGTTCGCCCGAGGTGGGCTGTGGCGGATCTTCTCGATGTCGACGGCTGCTTGCTGCCTGAGCGGAGACCGCTGTCAGGTTGCGATTGTGCGCTGGTATGGGCACCGTGTCCTGCTCCGTGTCCTCTTCTGGTTCAGAGAGTTCTATGATGTAGTCCATCTCCACCATGTCTTCCGAGCTGGCCTTCTTACGTCTCTTCGGGTGGAAGCGCACTCTGCTACTACTTGATGGCTCTTCTCCAGGTTCGTCTTGATGCGTAGCTTCGTGGAGTGCGGAGTCCGCTGTACTCCTTTGCCTCTTCTGCGCCTTTGCCACCGCGGCCTGTCTGAGGGCAAGGAGTTTGCCTGTGGGCGCAGCGCCCGACTGGCGTAGTCTTGTGGGCAAACGCCGAGATGACTTCTTCTTTGAGCTCGGACTGGGCCCCATGTTGCAGGCAGGCGCATTGGCAGGAGTTAAAACTAGTATCCCCGGTGCTGGTCCCTGGAACCGTGTAGTTATGTGATTAGAGTTCAAGGCGACGCTGTGGGTGTCCCGACCTATCTCAAGTTCAGTCTCTTGCACATAATCTTCAGTGTAATTACGGAGGCCGAGGTCAGGTGTAAGAAGTGGAAGGCGAGGGGCTTGTGCTTCCGTCAGGGCGGGTCTTATGGTGGGGGGGAGGAATGGGCATGAGCCAAAGTGTGCTCCGATTCGATGGCTGAACTCTTGTTCTGCATGTGTGTACGTAAGGATGCAAACCAGCAGCTTCGCAAGGCAATTGAGTGCCCTGCTGGGTGTGGAGACCACGTTCCCAGTGTCGATGGGATCGTTGCGCCGTCTCGTGGATGTGTCAGCCTGGGCAGGTGGAGGTCGTGCGTGCATTCTGATGGGCTGTGGGGTTGTGTATGTTTTAATGGCATACCATATCGTTGCAGCACAATTACATGCACAGCTGTGATCTTTTGTGAACAATCCGATCTTAGAGGCACTCACGCATGCTCTATTGTAATCAGATAATAGTTCTTGTTTATTCACAGCATCGATCTGTTGGCGGTCGGCGCATGCATTGAGTTTGCTATGAATCGCATAAACTGGGTAGCTCTCTTCGCGTTTGAGTGTCCAGCTGGGTGTGGAGTCCACCTTCCCAGTTGCAACGTGCTGCTCGTGTTGCGAGTGGGTGTCCTGCGCAGAATATCGTGCAGCCCGATAAGCACCCGTGTTGCATGCCCTAGCACTCTTGTCTGCCGTGCACATCAGGACTGTACGCTCGCATGCACTCTCATATGCTCGAGTGGGCGGCCGGTTGGAGCACCTTGGCCCGTCTCCATCAGATTCCTCACTTTGTACATCCGGCGTGGACGCAATTTGTCCAGAGGCCTCTCCACTGTCTGCCAATGTCCCGCCTATGTCTTGCAGATTTGCACTATTGTCTTCAGTCTCAGAAGCTCCAGCAAAACCTGCTAAGAACTCGTCTAGGTCTGTTGTTTCCGTGGTGAAAGGGGCGGAGGCCGCATTCCCCTCCGGTCCTGTCACTGGTGTTGTCGGCATCGGCATCTCGTGTCCTGCCGTTGTCCCGGTAGTCGCCGTCTCCAATCGCTGCGCCTCAAAGCGTGCGACCAGATCTACACCCCGAGGTTCTCGTAGGAGATCCGAATGCTGCTCCTCTATCTTGTTCACCAGCCTTGATTTCAAGGGGTCCGGGAGCTGGCGTATCTGCTCAAGGAAGAAGCTCGCTCGCGCAAGGTCACTTACTTCCAGTGATGGTTCAGGAAGGGCCCGTAGGAGAGATGCTTCTTGATCATTCTGTGCAACGTCAAGGAAGCGAAGCCACGTGGTGTTTACCTTTTTGGTAGAAGCATCATGTTCCACTGGTTGGTGATCTTGGGTGCGGAGTCCGCCTTCCCTTTCACTTTCCTGTGCATTCACCACTTCTATGGGCTCTTCCAGGAAGTGTGCTGTGTCATCTTCGCCCTCCGTGTGAGTAGACTTCGGCACGACAATCGGAACTGCAGCTGTTTGCATGCAGACGCACGGCTGCTCAAGACAGTAAATGCACATCATGCTGGCAGTGGAGTCGCCAGAACCTCCAGATGTCTGCCTTTCGTGGGATTCGCCAGGTAGCCTGCTGTGCAGGGCCCCCTCCAACGACGTGCATCTGCAGGGGCGCCATCCACAGGTCACGCATGGTGTACATGGTGCCTCCGACATTATGAGTCTTGAGAAGCTTCCCTGACCAAGAGTGCTCCGTCTACGAAAGGGCGCGGAGTCCGCAATCCCTGTGAAGTGAGTGCAGAGCCGATGCATTGCGCATGTGAAATGAACAGAACAGTCACGTCTTGCCGTGTGGTCTTCAGTTTGCAACTCGGTATGTTCGCAGCCATGATCCGCCTTCTTCGACCGCGAGATGCCGCTCGTTAGGCAGTTGGCCGTGGCCCTGACCTCAGTGTGTCGAGGGATGGAATTGAATCTAGACCACATCAAGGCAGTGAATAACATGTCAGCATGTGAGCTAGTCAGGGGTTTCCATCTGCGTGGCCTTTCCTGAATGGTCTGCATTACTATTTGTGACCAGCTGTATGACCCACTGTGCCTGACCTGTTTGGGAGTGGAAACCACTTGCCCTCGTGAGTGAAAAGCAGGAGCGAAAGCAGCTGGTGCCTGGGTGCTGCACCGTGTCAGCTCCTTTGGCGCAGGCCCTGTCATACTTGCGGGTTCAAGTCTGACTGAGGACTTTGCAGTTGCTGGCCTTGGAGCAACTGTCTGAAAGGAAATTACTGCCATCAAGGTTGCAATTCGGGCAAGCGGATTCTGTTCTCTAGCAGTGCTCGTTAGATTACCAGTGCCAAGCATGCAGCTCGATGTGTGCTCCCGCCTGCATGATCTGGCCTTCCACGTGCTCACGCGCTGGGGCCAGGAAACTCCCGGTAATGCACATGCAGCGAAGCTGTTGCTGCAATGCCACATCAATTCTCGAGGACTGGATTGGTGACAGTAAGTTTCTCTTGCTGCATCAACCGCCTGCGAGCAATTTTGCAGCATGATGTTTGACAGTTGTCTGAGTGTCTGACAATCGTTGCGCTGGCTACTACGGTCCTCAGTTACAGCTGGTGAAGTCACATCTCGGCGTCGTTGGATTTCTGCCTGTTCAGATGTCTCTTGCATTACCACTATGTATTGGCTGTCCTTGGTGAGCACTCTAGTCAGACTGTGTGCACAAGCGGCGAGCCTACGCTTCAACGCGGGCAGCTCCCCATCTGGTTCATGTCTGCCTGGGTTCCGGTAGACGTCGACCGGCCTGAGCGGTCTGTGAGTCTCTGCCGATCCTGAAGGCAGATTGTCGGTTGCTGCATTCAATGAGCTTGTGGGGTTGTCTTGCCGTCCTGAGCACTCAACTGAACCTGACAGAAGCACACTGACCAGACGTTCCCATGACTGTAATGGAGGGGGAAGCGGAGCCCGCTGTTCCTCATACGCGTAGGGTGCAGAATGTGGCGGCTGTGTATAACGAAGACCTTCTGGCGTTCTCCACAAGGGGCATCTAGTGGTGTTGATGGGGTCCGTTGCGACCTCGTAAAGTTGAGGCTGGGCCCTCTGCTCATCAGTAGAAGACCCTGCATCTCTCGATCCTTCAACAGACATGCAACGTCGCACTGCACCACCGCATGAAATCCACATGAAAATCTGCAAAGCCA